AGGAGAGAGAGAGAGAGAGAGAGAGAGAGAGAGAGAGAGAGAGAGAGAGAGAGAGAGAGAGAGAGAGAGAGAGAGAGAGAGAGAGCACCCCCCTGCTATACAGTGATCTCAAATAAGAGAAAGGGGACGGGTCACCTGCTCCCTGCATAGCAGCAATGTTGTTGAAAACACATGCACATGCACACCAGAGAGGGAGAGAGAGGGGATGGGCCACATGCTCCCTGCATCACAGCATTGTCACGGGACAAGAACACACAGAAAACACAGAGAGGGGGTGCTGGCCACCTAATCCCTGCTGCACACAATTGCCATGAAGAGGGTCCACTTACTTTTATAACATCCCAGACGCGAATTATCTATCGTACTCTCTAATGTCTTCCCTTTTGAAACTGTAACTCTGTTTCTCTTCTTCTTGCACATTTGCAGCAGAACAGCTACAACATGACAGCTAAACGATGGAAACAGTACCCTGAGTGCCCATATTTGGGCTGACTTGAGGTTCGTGGTTACATTTAGGTCATTTTAAACTGTGGGAGAGTCACTGCACCCACCATGGTTTTCGTGTCAGGCCTAGATATTACAATTCTAGGAACAATAAATTTTGCAGTTGCGGAAACATTGTCGCCTTAACAATGACCATCGAGCAGCTTGAGGTTACAGTGCCCACTACGGTTGTGTGATAGGCAGAGTTATTCCAGTCCCATGGACCACAAATCCATGTCGGCATTTCTGGCAACGCTGATGCATAAACAAAGACCATATTTCCTTTGGAGCAGTGCTTGTGAGTCAACCCTTTTTCTCCCTTTCTCGTCTTTGAGACACCCTGGGAAGTCCGCACAAATACATACCATGTCCTCTTGTTCCACCAGTGTGTTGACAATGTGTTCGAAACCCCTCTTGGGTGAGTTGTATAAGCTTGCGTGGGATATTTCACTTGAGATGCTTTCCGCTCTTGAATAGTTCAAGGGGTCGTTCCGCGTTGAACGCAAAAGCTCAATGACAGATGAGCCTGCGGTCTTCCACCTCTTTTGCACCTTTTTCTGTGTGGCCTCCTTCAGGTCCAATCTCTCCCTTACTCTGTCATGGAGTGCAACTCTGTACTGCATTGCCCTCTCCGAGCAGTGATACAATGCCACAAGTGTGACCAGCAGTACAACCTGAGAAGTGAGCACAAAATAACCCACATACAAGGTCAGAGCTTGCATATCAGTTTGTTTGTTTGTTTTTGTTTTTTTTTTTGTTTTTTTTTTTTGGTTGGTTTTTTTTTTT